GGGTTACACCATTGCAAAGTGAAATTATTAACGTTTTTTTTTCTGAGTATGTAACGTTCTCCGTAAATTTCAATGTGGGCTCCCTTGGTGGCACGACAAATATCCAGACGATATTCAAGCTCATTCCACGTTACTTGAAGCATGTGTGGTATTACCGTAGTCACAGCGTTCCTTATGCAGGTTTCAGGTGTTGAAGTTCCTTGATCTTAACCTGGTAGGCAATGTTCTTCACATAACCCCACAAGAAAAAATCCATTGGGGTTAAATCTGGCGACCTAGCGATGGTCCACCTCTGCCTCTCTGTCCAGGTGGTTCCTAATATGGTGGGAGAAATGTGGGGGCGCCCCGTTTTGTTGGAGGATAGTTTGAGGTGGTAAATGGGGCAGCGCTTATAGCTCCAGCATGTCAAGTACGAATTTCCGGTCATGGTCTTTCCCGTAAAGAAGGACGGTCCGATCAACTTGTCGTGCATCAAGCTGACCCACACGTTCACTCTGGGGTCTTTCAAAAGTATATACGATTGTACATTACGATAATCCTCACTATTTCGTGAAATGACTACAGAAACGTGTATTGTCATGCTAGACTAGATTTTGTGCTCAGTATCATGTTATCACAAAAACTGTGTAGCTCAGTAACGCGAACTGTGTAGGCGATGCAGTTTCTGTTGGTAGGGCATCGCCGCTACTTTGTGCACATACATGCACAAGATGTGCATCACAGTCTGTTCCAGCTCTGTCCTCGGGTTTGTACAATTCTTGCCTTACGAGAGTTGCTGTTGTCAATTCAAAAGATGACAGTTTTTTCCCCCGCGAATTTGTGCTTTGTTACTGAACTTTAAATAAAAACGGCAGTGCTTTCACGGGTTTCTCCCCTGGCTGATAGTTCGCTTAACAGTCTTGTCTTGTCACTTTTCATGAGATGAAATAATAACGAAGACCGTTATTATTTTTACTTATTTTCTCTTAGATATATCCGCACTAAACAAGTAACTTCAGGTAAGAGCCTCGGCAGTTTCTCATGAACGCTCGTTGCAGTAACTGAACGATTTATACGTGGACAGGAAAAATGTAAATCAGGCATACTCAAAAGTAGTTTCGACGAGCAGTCGCTAGGGCGGAAGATCATGTCGTGTTTAGCGTAGTGGTTTGAGATTGGTTTTCTGTTGCTGCACACCCGCAAATATTTGCTTGAAAAATAAAAGGATTCCGTAATTGAATGTGCTGCTGGGATAGCAGCTGTTCGTGTCTTGGTCTGAATATGGTCACCAATATCGCCGGCCCCCCCCTCTTCCCCGTGAAAAATTATAAATATTGTGTGCACACATGTAACGAAATGGACACTCTTTGTTTGGAGCTCTACAGAGACCTCATTTATGATTGGACATTTGGACAACTTTATTAGAAATACATCACGAAAATGGCAAACTCGCATTTAAACTGCAGAGTCAGCTAACCCAAATTGTAATAAAAGGGTACGTCACTCGGGCACGGGAATAAGAGTTTTCTGATCCACGTTTTTCGTTTTCTTCTGTTATTGGCAACTAAACAAATATCTCCCTCGGGAAATACGTTTTATAATAAGTGTACGAAGATGATTAAAAGCCTAAATTCAGTATTTTTTTTTTCAATTCTTAATTTAACTGGCCGGGATTCCAGGGAAACAAAAAAAAACCGAGACTTTCGCCGTTAAACCGGGGCGTCCAGCCTACATATCAAGGGGACGCACATTGGGATGCCAGTAGATGTCAGTTCAGTTATTAAATTATGCAGATCACGCAGATCTCTGAAAAATTCCGATGAATTATTTCCGCCTTCAGATGAACACTGTTGCAGTAACATTTGCACAGATTTATTTTTGTTCGAAATTTGCTCTGCTCTTATATGCTTGTTGCGGCCAATATGTTATTGTACCCTGAAACATTTTTCTGCCGCTAATTTTGTGTCACACATCTTACAGTAAAAAATGTTGCCGTCAGTTGAAAATATATCATCTCCAAATGCAGCTACAATCTGCTTTAAATGACACGATTTGGATGGCTTTTCTTTAGGCATCGTGATAAAATGAATCACTCTAGCGCAACACAAAACTGAACTTTTCACACTGAGAACCTTTCGTCAACTGTATCCTTGTCTGTACGGCCAAGGGCGAGAAACTGAAGACAGACGGAGTTATCGAGCAACAAAATGCCATAAAAAGCGAGGGATTCAGACTAGAAATATTTGTGACTAAGCAAATTCCTCTGCACAGAACTTGGAAAGGGCCGCAGTGTGAGTGACCGCTGTCGTACCCTGCTGCCAGCTTAAAATGTTTTATGATACTGTCGCGTATTGGGCGTATATCGCGACAAATAACTTCACGCCGTATTTGATGTAGCGAATTTTATTTCACATTCGCACTTACAATCACCCAAATTACAGATTTACGATTACTGCTATCTGCAGTATCACAATTAGTACACTCCAAATGCCACAATACAACTGACTGGTTGCTGGCTAACTCGGAACTAACTCGGAGGTAGCTCGAGAGGCAGGAGAAAGAGAAAGAACACTTTACTTGCATATTATTATCATTTCTGAAAACATATGAAGAAAAATTCCCTAAAATGGCTAAAACGACAAAAAAGTACCCTTAAAAGTCCAAAAATTTACCGAAAAATTACCCCCAAACTGAAGAAATGACATAAAAACTTAAAATGAAAAATTACAAAAAAAAAAAATACATGTAAAAGTTACATTTCTGTACCCAGCAGCTGATCTCCGGGATTTATATATTTATGGGCATCGAATGGGATACAAAGGGGGAAAAAATGATGATATGCCATCAAAATCCGAGCCCTGGTTATTATTCTAAATGGATCCCAGAAGACTGCCCTTTTATAAAGAGTGGGTAGAACGAATTGAAGCATGAAGACATCTCTCCGTATCGCTTACTGTGAGCTGGCTGGTGTTATATTACAAAATACCGGAGTTCACAGCGCGTTGGTTGGTTTGTTTGAAGTGCAGCTCATCATTAAAGGAAAGCACTACTATTTCCTCGGTATTGTGTCACTTCTTCAGTAAAATGCCATATGGACTTGAGTTAGAATACAGTAGAAGTTAACTTTATATATAAAATGAAGTTAGTTGCGCGTTATTACAGATACAAGAGATTAGAAAGCCTTTTTTTTTTTTTAATATTGCATTATGATATTCTGTGTAGGTGCTATATGTATATCCAGCGCGTTACGGAAGTGTTGTTATACAGAATTGCACTGTTGGCTCAGAAAGAGCGAAGAATAGAACAGGTTCACGCCATCGGATCGGATTAATTCTGCAAATAAGTTCTTTGTGATTCTGCTTTCCTCACTGGCGGTGCTCGTTTGTTGCACTTAAGAATCTGTTTCTCCACTTGGCATTACTAGATTTCAGGACTTTGTCCATAGTCTAGTATTTTGAACAGAACACAACAATTTGGAAGTTGGATGTTTTCGCCCTCAGGTGAATGGATGTGAGAATCTGTGGACGAAGTACAGAAACCCAGGTAATACACGTACAAAGTGTGATGTACCATAGCCACAGATGTATACAGCCGTGTACATACAACTCCTTTAGGATACATAGTTCAGTGACTCATGTTAACTGAGCAGGTGCCTCCCGATATTTTGACATAAGGAGGAAAAGATCCAGTTTTCGGAATGTTGTTCCCTCTTCGGAATTATAGACAACGTACTAAATTCCAGGACTTTGCGACGCTAAGCTGAATTGAGGTTACAATTGCTGATATATATGTAATTTCATCAGAATTTCATATTGCATAATCAGAAATTATTTATCCCTATTTGTCGTTAAAGCCGGTCACGGTAGCCGAGCAGTTTAAGGCGTGCACTGTCTTCGCTCGCTCGGAAGCCGGGATCGTGGGTTCGAATCCCACTCAGGGCATGGATGTTTAGTTTGTATGTGTGCGTTTTTCTGTGTTTGTGTACAGGTAGAGGCCTTGCGACGAGCTGATCACCCGCCCAAGGATTCCTACCGTATGTCCATGATCTAGAAAAACCGAAGTGAACGGAGAAGTTCATGGAGGTAGGCCTAGGCCCACTGGGGCTGTAGTGCCAAAGGGGGAAAAAATTGTCGTTAAATACTTGGCATATGAAAAATTTTTAAAAAAGTAGTTGTAGTGGAGTCTGTGTTTTATGTTATGTGCCAATTTGATATTTAACGAGCTGTTCTTGAGAAAACAGATGTATTAGATTTGAGCTTTATGTAAAATAGCACAGATAACTAGCAAAATTAAATTATTCCGAATACAACATGTCATGAAAATTCGATCAGTAATTTCGGAGACTGGGCATGCAGACAGATGGGGGGGGGGGCGGATGTGATGGTCTGCTTACGTGTGGTATCGGATTACGTAAAGCGAAGGCGCCAGTATTGATCGGATTTGAGTTATGGAAAGGGACTGCAGGAGCGTTGCTTGTAGCATTCGGGTGAAGGGACTGAGAAAGCAAGTAATTATTTTATGGTAATGAATCGTTTGTAAGAAGCTAAAGTCGCTAAGCTGGTCAGTAAATTACCCGTTTTCGTGGGCTATGAATATTGATTACAGCCTCCACTTCTCACCCTCTACTGAGCCACATGAATCCACTCCACATCTTCACAACATATTAATTTTTATAATTTATTTTATTACTTCTTACGGTCTTCGAAGAGTCATCCAACGTGTTCTCTTCCCTTTCGGTTTTCGGATTAAAATTCAATGTGTATTTCTCATTTCCACCATGAAATGGTGTGGGGAACAAATTTGTGTTTTCTTTACCGTTCAGTTTAATGACAGTTTTCCCCGGAACTTTATTCGGAAAGTGTCGTAGATGTAACAGAAGTTCTCGGCTTTGATAACACTTTCTCTGTCCATACCTGACAACTTTTTCCTTCTTATATGGGTCTGTACTTTCCTCCTTTGTACCTTGACCCTCTTCACCGAAATTTTTTCGAATTTAATATTGATTTCGTTTTCATTTACAGCCCTGTTCCGAAAAAAAAATTGAACATGGACAGGCGTGGCTCCTTGGATGACAGTTTCAACGATCAGGCTCTTCCGGTTCCTATACAGATTTTCCTTTGGCGTCAGGTCAGGTAAGAACAGCCCTACAAATATACTGACTCAGTGCAGTACTCCTCACAGCGGTGGAAGACCCAATTGAAGGATTAAGTGTATTGGAACATTACATACATTGAAAGAAGACAAGTCGCTAAATTTTTAATGGACACGTGGAGACCAACGGTATCCCTAACAGTGCCCTATGGTTCTCTCCTTGAAAAAGTTAAGGATTTAAGTTTCGTCTGCAGCACGAAGCTCTAAAGTGTGAAAGATTCCACACTGATTCATAATTAGCCGAGAAACCGGACCGTATAATAATTCAGTTCAATTCAATTCTTTATTATTTATGTGCCGAGTCAACAGCCGCAAGGCCAATTACAGACAGAGCACAGTGTCGATAGAAGTAACTACATTATGGAAATTCACAACATAAAGTCAAAGGCAAATTACAGGCAAGCACTGGAGGAGGAACACATTAATGCAGACAAGTACACAAATAATAATAATAATAATTTAATTAACATAAATCTAAGTTGTTATTGAGAACTGAGAAATGAAACATATAAATATTTAAATGTGAAATGAAAAGTATAGATATTAAGACAGGATAATAATAATAAACCAGTTTAATTGTTCTTATATTCACGCAAATACTAATAATAGTAACATTTGTACCATATTTAATAATCGACTTTGGAGAACTTTCCTGGCTCCGAATACGTCAACATCCCTGCATATGATATTAGCAGCTGCTGCACATCTAGCAGAGGGACAATTTTTACATGAGGAGCAAACATTGAACAATGCAAAGTCTCTGATATACCGAGCAGGAACTCGGAGACCAACAATTTCCAGAACAGAAGGGCAGAATTTCGAGCCAAAATAAACGTGAGTAAGAAAGAGAGCATCAAAGCGATGTCTCCTAGTACGTAAAGTATGCAATTTTAAATCTTCAAGAGCAAGAGAATAATTGTAATGAACTTGAGGATAGAAACTATTAAAACAAAGGCCCGCAAACCTCTGCTGGATGCGTTCCAGCTAGTTGGCATCAGTTGACGTAATCGAATTCCAGACTACGGACGCATATTCAATCTTAGATCTAACTAATGCAGTGTACAATCTGAACATACCTGCAAAGTCTAGAGATGAAAAATTGAAAGTAATGTTATAAACTAGACCCAACAGTTTAGCACAGTGAGAGAAAATGTAAATGACATGGTCATGGAAATATAGCTTAGCATCAATAAACACTCCCAGGTACAAATCGTAGATAAGTACGTTGGTTTTCCTGGAGAAGGATATAACTTTAGTTTTACTGATGTTGAGTTTCATACAGTTAGCTATGCACCAACCTTGTACAGAGTTAATTTTAGACTGAAGTAGATAGCAGTCCTGAGGAGAATTAACGGCTCGGTAAATGTTGATATCGTCAGTAGATAGCAAACACTTAATGGCCAACGGCGTCGCGTATGTCATTAATAAACACATTGAAGAGAAGGGGTCCCAAGACAGATCCCTGGGGAACACCGGAGAGAACTTCAGAAGGTGAGGAAAGAACACCAGAAACACGGACCTAAGATTTCCGGTTGGATAGCTATTGCTAGTAGGGTTGGACTAAGTCCTTTGTACTGCGGCCACGTCTGGCCTATTGTACCAGCCCCAGAAGATAGGTGAGGGTGATTGTGGAGCAATTGGTGGAATGAAGATTGGCAGGGGAAACCGAAGTACTGGGAGAAAACCTGCCCCAGCGCCACTTTGTCCATCACATACCAGAATCGGGATCGAACCCGGGCCGCCGCGGTGGGAAGCCAGCGACTAACCGCTTGAGCTATGGCGCGGCCCAATTGGATAGGTAACTGCGAAACCATTATACATAGCCACCAGAAAGCCCAATAGCACTAAGCTTATGAAGAAGAAGAGAACGTGGGACAAGGTCGAATGCATTGCTGAGGTCAAAATAAATGGCATCAGCTTGTCGCTGAGAGCCAGCTATAAGGGAAATAAAATCAACGTAAGTTACCAAGTTGGTGCTTGTGGATTTAGTTTTTGAAAAGCCATGCTGATAAGGGATAATTTTAGATTTTAGATAATGGGAAACGTGGTCATGAACAATAAATTCAAATATTTCAGAAAAATTACTGAGTAAGGATATAGGCCTATAGTTGCTAACAGAGGTGCTTTTGCCTTTTTTTTTTTAATACAGGAACAATTTCTGCTTGCTTCCATAGGATGGGAAAATAATGCTGAGATAAGCTTAGACTAAAGATATCTTTAAGAATAGGTACAAATATATCGGTACAACCCTTAATAACGAATCCAGGAATACCGTCAACTCCAACAGATTTAAATGGTTTCAGGCGCTTAATGGCTTTGATAACATCTGACTCAGAAACAGACGCCGAAAGTAAGAATTCAGAAGATGATAAAAGGGTGGGGAATATAATAGGACAAGGATTGTGGTTCACTGCTTGAAAATGCTTTGGAAATTTATCAACAATATCATTAGTTTTTATTAAATGCTTACCATCAACCTCAAGCTGGATGGATTTGGAAGTTCTTTCCTAAAGGAGGCCACATATTTCCAGAAATTCTTGGGTTGCGACTTATCAATATTCATCCACAGATTTCAGCCATCTGAGTCTGTCAGTCTTAATAGTAGCCTTAACTAACTTACGACAGAAAGAGAATTTTTGGTAAAGACAGTCGGATTTATTTTTCTTAAAACGTCTGTAAAAATACCAGTGTGGGAATGTCGAGTTAGTGTTTATAGTGTCACGGAGAGTTACATGTTCCATGACATCTTGAACAGCAGCATTGAGGCAGGCGACAGCAGAATCAACAGAGATGGTACCATAAACACATGACCAGCCATAAATTTCCGGTAGTCGCATTTGTAAGAAATTTTTGCAACCAGGTCGTCAAGGGATTTTAAATGCCCGAAGAGCCACTAAGCTAGCCGTTTTGCTAAAAAAGTTGATACGACAACGGCATAAAGTTAAAAAGCAAAATGTGTACTTATCAGAAGACAAATTCTCTGCCGTGTAGTGGTGTATGACAGTCAAGTGTGGGGAGAGGTTTGTAGTGTTTCACTGGCTCAGATTTTCTCATGTTCTCTAGTATAACATATATATGCATATTCCTTATGAATGACATGTAGGTACTTGTTTAAATAATAAATACTGAGGCAAGCGCGGGGAATTTCGGGATAAAAGTATAAGTTTTGATTGGGCAGTGGAGTCTAATCCTAAGCGGGCGTTACGTTCAACGGACTGCCCGTAACCCCAAAATCGTGTAATAGAGTCAGAATTACCCTTGAAAATCTCTTAAATCCCCTATAAGGCACTTGCTTTTTATATGCCATGTGATATGTATGTATATAATATTGCGACCACATTTGCGCGCCGTGTTTATGAACGCTGTAGCGTCTCTCAGTAAGTCCAACCCAGCCAGTTGTTGCCACAGAGCTAAGATTGATCTGGTTGAACACCAGATGAACTGATCGGATAACTTCTGGGGGACATATAAAACGTAAAATACCTGCATTTAAACACGCGGGAACAGAGACAGCGTCATGGTTTGCGCTCTCTGGGCTTAGGATCACTGAATGGCACGCCATGTGGAATAGCCTGCGATGTGTAAACTATTATTATTATTAGTAGTAGTATTACTCTTAGTCGTCACAGCACGACATTACAATCTATGAGGCTGGCGGACCACGTGACCCTTAATTTCAACGATAAAATGTCTACGGCTGCGGTGTTCTTGGACATCGAAAAAGCCTTTGATACCACGTGGCACTCAGGCTTGCTGTTTAAATTATCAAAATTGGAATTCCCCAACTCTTTGACCAAGCTTATTGGGTCCTTTCTCTCTAAACGTAAATTCAGGGTCTCTGTTGAAGGCGAAATGTCAACGCCAAGGGAAATACAATCAGGGGTGCCACAAGGTTCTGTCCTTTCCCTTACTCTTCAACTTGTATATAAATGATGCCACCCAAACTCATGGTGTTCACCTGGCCCTCTTTGAGGACGACGCGTGTCTGTATGCGACAGATGGCAAGGAGGGTTTTATTGTTATAAAACTCCATCGCGGTCTCAGCTCAATGGAGACCTGGTGTGAGCGCTGGAATATTAAAATTACTGACGATGAGACTCAGGGGTTCTACTTCTCTCGTGGTCTTTGACCGCTTGAGTCTTGTCTTACTCTAAATGGAAGAAATATTCCATTTGTAAATAGTGCAAAATATCTAGGTGTAATCTTCGATAAGAGAGTGACTTGGAGATTACACATAGAAATGATCGAAGCCAAGGACTTCAGAACAATCACTAGAGTATAGTGCCTACTCAAAAGTGAGCGATTGAGCGCTAACATTAAACTGAGCCCCCACAAAGCTCTCATTAGATCCGTAATGACTTATGCTAGTCCCGCCTGGGAGTTTGCGGCAGACACTCATCTAGTGAAATTGCAGCGCCTGCAAAACAAGGTTCTCCGCACGACTGGCAATTTTCCGAGGCGCACACCAGTCCGCGATTTGCACATGGCATTCAAAATCCTTTACGTATATGACTTTATAACAAAATTATGCAGGCAACAAGCGGAAGTCATACAAAATCATGATAATGAGAATGTTCGCAACATCGGACAAGGCGAAGCCCGCCATAGAAAGTATAAGAGGCTTATACTTGACGGCGGTCAGGCATACACCCGTTCAAGTGACTAGACTGTCGGGGTAGCGAATAATACTAGAAATAGGGCATAATCTGCTGTACCGAGCCTGGACTAACAGAGGCTTGTATACAGTGTACATAGAAGTAAGGAATAAGTGTGTATATGTAAATGTATGTAAATACAGACAGTGGACTTATTAATACAGACTGACTGACAAATGACAGACCCGACCTCTCGTCAGAGAGGGCGCCCCACATAGACAAGACAAGTTGGGGCTCGACATCAAGACAGACTGGCTGACCGTCAGTTGCAGCATGACTTTGACTTTTACTGTTAGGAGCTGGGAAAGCTCAGTAGGTTAAGTGGC